TCTGCAATATTCTCTTTACTTCCAAAAGTGATCCACTTTCATATTATATTTGGTAGGATATATCCCGACCGACCTGAGATGTTCTCCATGTGGGTTAATACAAGTTCCTTGGCTCGAGCGCTGCAGCATAGAGATGGTCGGTACCGATCACCCGAGTACGTTTGTATTGCTTTCTTGCCTGGAGACGGTCGGTTCCGACTGGTCGAATCACCTCCCGACCGATGTTCTGCATGACCATCGTACCTTTGTTTTACGGAGAGGCCGTATCCTTAGAGAGGGGCATGTGGCGACGCTAGGCGTTGACAGAGAGTGCTCACCAGATTGGGGCACGTGGATGTTACGTGGATTACATGCCGGTAGGCCGGAGGGTGCTTCCCGGCTAGAGGCTATAAATATCCACGGCGGTTAGAGTGATGGAGACTTTTGGAACAATCGATAGGCTACTTACAGAGCTGCCCGACCGTAGTCAGTCGGTCCTCGGAGTAGTCATTTAAATTGTATTAGGTCACCCTTCTATATATGAGATAACCTCTTTTTATTAATATTACCATTTTATATACAAGTACGTAGACCACATACACGTGGACATTAGTACTATCAATATTATTATTATTATTATTATTATTATTATTATTATTATTATTATTATTATTATTATTACAAATATAGTAACAAAATAATACGGACTAGTAAAATAACTAATAGAAAATAAAAATAAAATAAAAAGATACACATTGCAAGCTTTTTAAATTATAGAGCTTGCAATTTTTTTTTAAAAACTGCTGACCCTATTACATTGTAGTATTTGTTCATCTATACTTTCTCAACCTGTTGAAGCACAAAGAGTCAACATCGCCTCCACTGAGGCTCGATCCATCCCATATAGGAGAGTCACTACATGCCATTTGAGCACAAGGTGCTTGACACATGGCTTGCAAAGTTAAACAAAAATAAATTTATTTTTTTTTTAAAACCTCATTTTTCACATTATCTTGTGATTGGCAAAATTTCTGAGATGGGGACAACTGAAGAGTATTATGAAATATCAAGACTATGTGGTCTAATGGTACTTGGGTTGGACTTTTATTTGGAAAGTTATAAGTTCAAGTCTCAGTGAAGGCGTTATTAGTTCTTTGTGTTTCAGTTGGTTGAGAAAGTATACGGACAGATACTACATTGTCATAGAGCCAGTAGCATTTTATGCCATATTTATTTTTGGCTAAATTCTAGATATGATTCTTTGGCATTTTTCAATTATTTACCATCCCATCAAGTTTTAATTTAATCAAAATTGGTTCCATAACTATTACTTTTGTGCGAAATCTAGTTGGAGGCATCAATTATAAGACAAAAAATGTAAAATTCAGCATTTTGCACCTTTCAACTATGATGATTGTAAATTAAAAGCCCAAGTTTAATTACATTCTTGTTGGTCAATATATTTGAATAACGTTAAGCAAGTATTTATACAATATTCATTTATTGTCAGTTTATTACATTCTTATTGCTGAAAAATGCTTGTACTTGATGATGATGGTGAACTGCAGGAGAATAAATATGAAAAATCTGTATTTTACACTTTTGTCCTCATAATTGATGTCTTCCCAAAAAAAAAAATATATTTCTTAATTAGGGATTAAATCTAAAAAAATAAAAATAAAAATCAATAGTCAGGGTCAAATTGAAAATGATAAAAATTGAAAAACTCTCATATTAATTTTGAAATTAACTTTTTTATTTATTTATAAATTCATTGATATTATTATAAATTAATTAAATTAAATCACATCAATTGTATGAAATTTATGTGCTTCTAAACGTTATCCGAACTAATAATTTGCAAAACACAATAATTATGGGATCTTAATGATTATTACTTCTTTCTTCATCTTGTAAACTTGCTCCAACCATGTTACCATATATTTAAGTAATTAACATATATATATATATATATATATATATATATATATATATATATATATGTGTGGTCCCTTCTTAAGTTCTTATGTGGTCAAGTAATTAACATATGTGGTCCCTTCTTATCATTTCATCATATGCCCCTTTAATTTATTTCCCAACTTATATATAGTCAAAATCAAATGAGAATCACTCTTTCCGTGAGAATGTGGGAACTGTTTTGTGTAATTCGTAATGTTGGATTGTGCAGTTGCTATTACCTGATTGTGTAACTTGTAATAATTGATTGTGTACCTGTAAAATGACTATCAAAATACACTGTAGAGTATTTTTAAAAAAATGTTATTCAATAGGTTGAGAAAGTAGTTATGAACAGATAATGCATTGTAATAGAGTCAGTAGTATTCAAAAAAAAAAATGGTAACAGTTTTGTAATTAAGTTGAACATACGATTGTGCAACCTATGATGCCTGGTTGTGTAGTTCACACTTTTGCAGAGGGAGCCCGGTTCTCATGTGATCCCAGCCTCCTCCTCCTCCTCCGCCCCCCCCCCCCCCCCCCCCACCCCCCCACTCACACACACACACACACACTTAAATTTGGTGATCCCTGCAGAGTTAAATTGTGAGGCGCACAATCAACCCATCAGTATTCAATTATCAAACCCCAGACAAACGTTGCATTTTCATCATAAATTTATTTTTTGTGTGTTTTCGTGTTAGGATTGCATGTTGAGGGGTGAATATTATAAAGTATAAAATTAAAAGGGGAAAATGCTTTTTTTTTTTTCCTTCTTTTTATTTTATTTTATTTTATTTTATTTTTTTTGCATATTGCGAATGGGACAACTCTTTTAAGGAAGTTGTTTACATGAATCAAATTCTTTTTACTTGAGTCCACGTCTTTTGGTGATTTTTTTTTTTGTTTTTTGTTTTTTGTTTTTTTGTTTTTTTGTTTTTTTGTTTTTTTGTTTTTTTGTTTTTTTTTTGTTTTTTTTTTTGGTAAGGGGAATCCACTATTACTTACTGATAGTGTGCATTGAATAAATCTCACACATGCATAATAACTTACAAATTACATTTTTAAAAAAAAAAAAGAAAGAAAAATAAATCATACTAAAAAAATTTATATTACCAGCTCGGCCTTGCAAAATGGCATTTTTTTAAAGATAAGTCCATATCCATGCACTCAATGGACACAGGAAATCATACCCTACAAACTACAATTTGATAATAGATTGATTCCTTTCTGTTTGAAATAAAGGAAGGGAAAATGATGTATCTCTTGCTTTTGTCACGGGCAAGAAACAAGAAAATGACTATAGAGTTCATGTCATTGTCTTAAATAAAGTCATTTATTTTCTTATTTTTTTTTCTTTTTAAATTTAACTATATACTTCCTATTTTTCCCTATCAATTTCACATGCATCATTATTTGATTGGTTATGATTAATAATTATATTCAATTTTTTAAAAAATGTTGGGTGGGATTGACCAATTTACAATAATCAATGAATTAAAAAAGAATTTTATTACTCTTAAAGGGCCGATTGAGTGAACATAATATGATTCTCATATTACAAAGGTCACATGTTTGATTATTACCAACATCTTATGGTTTAGCCCATCGTGTAGGGACGATTTTCTTAGTGTAGTTTACATTTCTTATTTGATTTGCAAGTTATTATACATGAACGAAATTTATCGAATAATAGCGGTAGATTTTTCTCATCTTACTAAAAACAAAAGGAATTATATTACCAAGAGAGAAACATTAGAAGACAATTAAAATGAAAAATGAAAAACAACGTTATTCATTTAATAATCACATTAAATTCTAATTAATTTATAGTCAAACTTATTGGATTTATTGAAAAAACTTATATTGTAATTTATTAGTACCTTGACCAGAACATACAAGTCCACTAATCACGCATAGACCAGGTTAAGCTCAATTCACTTACAAACACATGCAACCGGTCAGGTGACATCTCGACCCCAAAAATTTATATTATGATTTTTCAGTTTTCATTCTCTATTTCTTATCTATAAAATTATTTTATTAACATTTATTTTTTAATTTATATTTTTGCATTAATGTTATAAAATTAACACAATTTAATTTCAAGTAAATTTTTAAACCTTATATTTAATATATTTTTAGATATATTTGATTTAAATATTTTTTTTTATACTTTTATGTCTAATATAGTAATGTGTATAAGATTTTTACATCTGATATTCAAATCAAAATTATATATGTATATGACATAATTTAAGCCAAGGATTTTGTGGTCCAATTGCACTAAGTTGCTCTCTTATATAAGAGGTTGTAGGTTCGTTATTGACTCTTTGTACTTCATTAGGTTAAGAAAGTAGATATGAACAGATATTAAATTGTAATAGCATTAAAAAAAAAGCATAGTTTAAAAATATATCTTAATAAATAAGCTATTAAGTTCACTTAAAATTTAATTTAGATAATATTAATATTTTTTTGAGCTAATATTTAAAATACTTTTAGATATATTCATTTGAATGAAATGTGTGTAAATTTTACTTTGAAGTTTAATATATGTGAAATTTTAATACTTGATATTTGGATCAAACTTGTATTACAATATAACATAATTAAAAATATACGAACTAATAATCTATTGAGTTCAATCAAATCTAAAATTTGGTGTAGAGTTCAAGTTTTAATTGTGATCATGTGAATAATGTATAACTTTAAACGTAAGCAAATAAGTTATCTTTATATAGGTAAATGCGTTAGAAAATATATTATGCGTATAAGTTTAAAAAAAATAATAATGAATATAATCAGATCATAGTAAGGAACCAAAAGGCTGAACCCCAACCTTAAGGGTTCCCCACATTTCGACCCGACAGAGCATTTGGGAGGATATAAATCATGGTAACTCAACTGAACATGAATCACAGAGGCTAGACCGGTGCTCACTGCGCACAAGAAATCCCCTTACTTTGAGAGGTTGCTTCCACACTGCCATAGTAAGGAATACATATATAAGTAGATAATGGTGAGGATGTGATTATATTGATATCCAAGTGTACAGGACATTATGTTACTGGAAAGACAGAAACCTTTGAAGACTACCAACCAGGATCTGTACAACAATAATGTCGCCTTCTTTCTCCGCAACACGTAGTGCTCGCATGGGAACAGTTGCAGAAGAAAATCGTTGATATATATTAGCCCAGTCTCGACGCCCTAATTGATTTCACGCTCAAAATTCTGCTGAGACCAAAGAGACAAAGCGCGAATAGCGTAGTACGTACTGGAGTTAACGGTTATTCATTCTGTCGGGGGCAAAACCCAAAACCCAAAAGCTGTGTTCTTTCATGGTGAAAGCGAGCGTTCCTCGTCCAATCATTGACTAGGTAGAAAGAAGAGGTCAAAGGTCGTATGTATGTTAATGTGTAATGTGTAATGTGTTCTCCACCCAATACTAGGCTGTCTTTCCTTCAGACATTCATGTCACGAACCCCGCTGTGACTGTGAGTGACCTTCACGATCTCGCCACTCTCTCTCTCTCTCTCTCTCTAACCTCCCGGTTTTTCATCCATTTATTCGCAATCTTCGGATCACCACAAGACCCTTTTTTTCTTTATGCGCCTCTGTTTCCTGAATCGGAAGAATCCATTTTTTTTTCTCATAATCCTCTCCTCTTTCTTGTCTATTTCTCTTCTGGGTATTTCTCATTTGGATTCTCTTTCACGAATTTCCCCCAAAAGAATCCATTTTTAATCACAAAATTCTTAATTTGTTGATAAATTGGTTAATCTCTCTCTCTTTCTCTTTCTCTCTGTGAGATTCTTGATTTGTGTTTCCTTGTTTTTGCCGGTTGTGTTGTGATTTCTTCGTGTCTTGAGTGTCGAGAGTTTTAAGGTTGTTTTGTTGATGTCATTGGCTGTTGGAGTGGCATCAAGTTCAGGAAGCATGGGAGAGGGGGCTGGCGAGGTTTCAGAGACAAAATTAGTGGGAGATTCAGAGCATGGAGCCGAAGGTGAGAAAAAGGTTCCCAGGCATATGAGTGGGAGCTCCATGGATGAGGAAGATGAAGACACTGAAAGCAAGATTGAATTGGGTCCTCAGGTTTCTCTCAAGGATCAAATTGAGAAAGATAAGGTATGCATATGTATTTTCCCCCTTCTTTTTCTTTTGATTTAGAGGGTGTTTATTCCATAAATTGTCCATGGTTGATCGGTTTTTAAATAAAAAAAGTTTAATAAACCGCTCTTATCCGTAGTGGAACTTATAACCTTGTGGCTATAACCACTATTCGAGGGATGAGCCTAGGTTGCGCATGTCTGATCGGCTCAAATTAAGAAGTCAATAGGTCGTTTCTATTCGAGTCAAACTTATAATCTTGTGGCAGGGTACACAGGGTAAATCCGGCCTAAATGAGCCTAGGTTTTCCTGATCGGCTCAAACCAAGAAAGTTAATAGGATGGTTCTATTTCGATACAAACTTATAACTACACTAGGCCAATAGGCCGATCCCACCTGGAGTCAAACTTGTAACCTCATGGTTATCAAGCCAACAATCAACCTGACCAACTTGGCTGTGGTTGTCCCGTATTTTCCCTTTAGTGTGTTGGCTTGGTTTAATAATGTTTGTTTGTTTGTTATTGAAGGATGATGAGAGCTTGAGAAGATGGAAGGAGCAACTTCTTGGGAGTGTGGATATGAATTCTGTAGGGGGTATGATTATTCCCCTTTTGTTTTATTTCCTCATCTTGCTGATGAATGCAGGCCATTGGATCTCTTATCTATGCTATTGTTCCTTAATTTTCTCAAATAGTGTTTTCAAACACTTCTGAAGGTTCAACTGTTCAAGGATTGGATTATCCTAGGATTAGCATGCGTAAATCCACCTGTTAATACCCATTACTCATTTGACAGAATCATTATAGGATTACAGATGTTTAGATTGACTATGATGTTGAAACAGAAAAGATAATAGTATCTGTTCTACTGTCACATTCTTGACCATAAATAGATCTTTTGCATCTCTTGGGTCTCCTTCGTATAGGCATATCTGTGTCTTTTGTAGAATTTCGGGCTATCACAAATTTTCACAATCGTTTTGTTGTATCTAAAACACAAATGTCGGGTAGTTCATAATCAAAGGGTTTTTGGTTTTGATAAATCTAGTGTCGAAGAGATGAGTAATATAATGCTACTGAATTGGTTCTTAGAATACTAATCTCCCGGTTTTCGTTAATGCTGCTTGGTTGGTTCTTAGAATACAAAAGTGCCCGAGTTTTAAGAGTCAGAAACACGAATCATCTTATTCTTTTGGGGTCCCCGGTCTAATGGGAAATTCGGGTGCTGCTAAATTGCAGAATCTCTGCATCCAGAAGTGAAGATTTTGAGCCTTGCAATCAAATCTCCTGATAGAGCTGATATTATCCTCCCCATCCCCGAGGATGGAAATCCTAGCGGCCCGTGGTTTACTTTGAAAGAAGGGAGCCGTTACAGTCTAACTTTTACGTTCCAGGTTAACAACAACATCGTCTCTGGCCTCAAGTATACAAACGCGGTATGGAAAACTGGCATTAAAGGTACTCTCCCGCTCTCTTTCTCTCTGTGTTTATATATAGTCTCGTCTTGAGGCAATGGCTGGTTTTAATATTTTAGTTAAATGTATTTCGTTTTCTGACCGTCGTCTCAGTGGATGGCACGAAGCAAATGCTCGGGACCTTTAGTCCTCAACCAGAGCCTTACGAGCATGAAATGACCGAAGAGACAACCCCTTCTGGCATGTTTGCTAGGGGATCATACACAGCAAAGTCGAAGGTGAGCTTACCCAGTTTCTTCTTGTTAAGAGTCCTACATTGATAAAATAAGAGAGAACATATGAGTTTATAAGGCCATGAGTTAGACTAATTAATTGGTTGGATTCAATCTTTTAGTGTGGTTTGATGCAAGTTTATTTCTTATTTTGCCGTGAATTTTAATTTTCCTCGTATTACTTGTACAGTTCCTTGACGATGATAACAAGTGCTACCTGGAGATCAACTATACATTTGAAATCAAGAAAGATTGGCCAGCAACATAAACACAGTTACTGGATGCTGAATTGTTATTATACCTGGAGTGTTCTTGTTTCATTGTTGAGTATTTGATAGTCTTTCTCAAGTAATTTTCTGAAGAGGGTAAAGTCTGTGCTTCATTGTTAAGATGATATGGATTGAGGGGGTAAAATTTAGCTGTCAGATTCTTGTTTGTTGAGTGTTATTGTTATGGTGATTCAATAAAGTTTTTAAGTTTTGGCTCATCACTGCTCTTTTATCTTCTTGAATGATTAATGGAGAATGAAAAAAATATATATATAAAAAAATCCACCGCCCCCCCCCCCCTTAAAAACAGTGAAATCTTTCAAGAAATATTAATCGCTGTCTATTAAAGTTCTTTGTTTGATCTTTGCTCAATTGGAATAGTAGCTTGTCCGTATTTAAACCAAGTTGGTCAAACAATTGTTGTCTATTAGTTATCTTGGTTTGAGCTTCGCACCATTTGGATAGCAACTTGGTTTGAGCTTTACCTTTTAAATAGCGGTTGTATGTAGACTTTTTCATAAATCAAAATATTATATATCAATATGCTCTTTTGTTCTTCAACATGTATACTTCTATTCTACTTGAGTATTCTTAACGTATCTTAATAGAAGCCAACTACCATGTAGACCTGTAGGGTGATAATATCTCGGTTATCATTCTAAATGGGTGGTCAAAATTTCATACCCTAATGGTGGAGGTTTAGATTTTTTGAACTAAAAATGTTTGAAAAAAAATATAGAACAAATATACTACCTTGTAAAAAATTATGAGTATTTCAGAAAAAAAAAAAATCTTATCAGAATAGTTTGATGCTCCAAGGTAGTTTTGTTCCTTCGAAACAGCACACCTAATTCTGTTAGGACTTAGTACCGTTAGTAGTCCCTTGGAAACAGCACACCTAATTGTGTTAGAACTTAGTACCGTTAGTAGTTATGCATGCACAGAAACCGTGAGAGAGAGAGAGAGAGAGAGAGGGAGAGGGGAGCAAGTCAGCAGCTGGTTGAGTGACTTAACAGCAAAGGGAATAGGTAAAGGCTTTTAAGCTTGCGAGGCTAGATAAAATATCAATTATCTTACTTAAAATCAACACTTCAACAATAAAGTGAGAATTCGCCTTTCACTAACAAAATCTTGGATTTAGGCTTGTCTTTTAGGCGAGTTTGACCCTTAGATTTCTTAGATTAGAGATTGAGATCCCTATGTTAGCGGAAGTGTGGAAATAGATCTCTTGTGTGCATAGTCAACGACAAAGACTGACTGGGAAGCTGTTTGGGTCACTCATGATTTACCAACAGGGATTTTGGGACTTAAATTAGTCTGACTTAAGTTGTGAATAATCAATGACGGAGACTGACTAGGAGGCTGTTTGGGTCACTTGTGAATTGTGATTTTCCGACAGGGGTTCTGGGACTTAGATTAGTCTGATTTAAGTTGTGAAGGGACTGATTGGGATGTTGTTTGGGAGAATCACGACAAGGGTTTCGAAGACTTAGAATTAATCTAGTTGAGAAACGTAATAATAATAAGAAAAATACTATTCGTATTCTCAACTTTTAGACTTCTTTTCAATCTATATTTGTCACATCAAGAAGTATAATTAATGGAGTAGTTCACTACAACCATATTCAATTTTGTGAGAGAAAAGGAATGGAAATGGAAAGAGACATGAAGAGTGTGATGAGATATTGGATGGAGGGAGAGATTAGCAACTTCATACAGACATTGATGACAGTACACCTATCTCTCTGCTACACCTATTTTGCAGCCAAGCTGATCCCAAAGGGTGCAAAAAGGCTCTTCTCTCTCCTCCCTGTTGTTTATCTCTTCTTCCTCATCCCTCTCAACCTCCACTCTGCTCATCTTGGAGGCACCACTGCTTTCTTCCTGGCTTGGCTTGCCAATTTCAAGCTCCTCTTGCTTGCTTTTGGCCATGGCCCTCTCTCTCACCCTTCTATCTCTCTCCCTCGTTTTCTTGCCCTTGCTTGCCTCCCCATCAATGTCCAAAACACACCTCATCACCCTCAAAATGGACATTTTCAAGAAAGCCCAGACACAAAATCAGGTCTTTATCCTCAAAATGGACATTTTCAAGAAAGCCCAGACACAAAATCAGGTCTTTATCCTCAAAATGGACATTTTCAAGAAAACCCAGACACAAAATCCTTGGAAAAATCTGGTCTTTATCCTCAAAATGGACATTTTCAAGAAAACCCAAACACAAAATCTTTGAAAAAATCTAGTCTTTATCCTCAAAATGAGCATTTTCAAGAAAACCCAGGCACAAAATCCTTGGAAAAATCTGGTCTTTATCCTCAAAATGGGCATTTTCAAGAAAACCCAGACACAAAATCCTTGAAAAAATCTGGTCTTTATCATCAAAATGGACATTTTCAAGAAAACCCAGACACAAAATCCTTGGAAAAATCTGATCTTCATCCTCAAAATGGGAGTTTCAAAGAAAACTCATATCCCAAACCCACCAAAAATAATGATCAGACTAGGGATTTTCAAGGAAACCCAAACCCAAAAAAAGGTGATATGTATCCTCAAAATGGGAATTTCACAGAAAACCCATACCCAAAATCCACCAAAAATGGTCAGAAAAGGGGGTTTCAAGAAACCCCAAACCCAAAATCAAGTGAAACTGGGAAGATTGCATCTCAGAAGAATGGTCATTTTGTTGAAGCTTCAAAAAGCCTAGAGAAATTTGTGACTTATGCCACAAAGCCATTTCTGATGAGCTTGATGATCATTGGGTATTCTTACAGTGAACATATGCACCCTACAATCATACTGTTCATAAATTTCATCCACATATACTTCTACCTGGAGATCATACAAGCCCTCATGGCCGCCATGACACGAGGCCTTCTCGGGCTAGAACTCGAGCCGCAATTTAAGGTATATTTTATCAATTTTAGTATTCTTCTTTTCAGTGTATTATTTTAAAATTCTTCTCTTCTCCCATTATTTTAAAATTCTACTTTTATCAATCATGTCCTAACTATGATTAATTCTTGTATTTTTATAAACAATCTCTTTCAGTATTTTGTAAATAGATCAATAAAGTATCTCCAAAGATTCAAAGAAGACACTAAAATACCATTTTGATGTAAAAATTTAGTGCAATTTTTATTCCCGTAATACATTACATTCTACACCAAAATTTTGTAAATGAATAGTACTCCGTATTACACATTTACACCATATCGGGCTGTTTGATTGAGATGAAAGAATTAAGAAGGAAAGGAATTGCAATTCGGTGGGAAAAGAATAAGGTATGAATAATGTAAGAATTCAAATTACATTGTTTGGTAGGAGGAACATAATTATTGGAAATGAGAAGGGAAAAAGTGGTATAAAGACTAAAATGTCATTGTGTAATAAGAAGAATAACAATCATCAAGGATATTTTTGTCATTTTATCCATTTTTTTTTCCGTTCCCAAAAGCATTGAATTGCAATTCATGGGGTACTCCATGAATTGCAATTCAACAAAAGAAGGGAATTGCAATTCTGTGAAACTGCAATTCCCTCCAACCAAACACCGTAATTTGTCTTGCAATGAAATAAAGTAAGAAAAGAATTACAACTACATCCAACCAAACACCCCCTAGTGTATTTGAGGTAATACTATTCATTTACACAATTTTAAGGTAACTTTAAAAAAAAAATCTTTTTGTCAATATATAAATTATAAAATTTTAAAGTGAAACATTTTTAAAAAGATCAATATTAAATATAAATTAATTAAAAATTAAAATACATAAAAATATAATTTATATTTTAAAATATTATTATTATTTATATCTAAAAGAAAAATAAAGTTTTAAATCATAAGAATACAAATTACTTTAGTGTATAAATAAAATCGGAGCAAAATATTACTTTTGGTCTCACAAATATTAGCAAAATGATAATTTTGGTTCACATGTTTAATTCATACAAATTTTTATCCATGACTATTGTTTTAGTATCAATTTTCGTCCACGACTATTGTTTTAGTGTCAAAATTTATCATGCCAGTCACCCATCTACTTAAACATGTGAATCAAAATTATCATTTTATTAATACTCGTGTGATCAAAATTAATATTTACTCAATAAAATTGGGTGTAAATAAATTGAAGATGAAAAATTTTTGGTATAAAAATATCTCAAAAATATTCTATTTGAGTGTAAAATTTAGTGCAAATTTTTGTATTTTGAGTGGGAAATGGTCTAATAATACTCTTTGCTAATATTATAAGGAGCCATATTTCTCAAGCTCCCTGCAAAACTTCTGGGGAGGGAGATGGAACCTGATGGTGAACCGCATCCTGCGCCCCACCGTCTACACCCCCGTCCTCCGCCTCTCCACCAGGCTCCTCGGCCGGAGATGGGCGGCGTTCCCCGCCGTCATGTCCACGTTCGCCGTCTCCGGCCTCATGCACGAGCTCATGTTCTACTATCTGGGCAGGGTGAAGCCCACCTGGGAGATCACCTGCTTCTTCCTCCTCCACGGCGCGTGTCTGGCCCTCGAGATCGCCGCCAAGAAGGCGCTCAACGGCCGGTTTCAGCCGCCGAGGATCCTCGCGGCGGCGTTCTCCGTCGGCTTCGTTTTGATCACTGGGTTTTGGCTCTTCTTCCCGCAGCTGCTGCGGTGTCGGGCATTGCCCAAAGCGTTTGCGGAGTATGATAAGTTCAACTCGTTTCTCAGGGATGTTGGAGGGGCGTTGACGTCAGCATTTCAAGTTTGATTATCAGACGAACGAATAAAATAAATAGTTACAATTCCGTATCAAATCTCTGTAATTACTTTGAGCAAGTGAAAAAAGATGATCTCTCACATTAAAAATTTTAATTTAAAAATGTTGGTGTAATTGTTTATTGAAATGAATGGTTCATATTGTTTTGATTTTACTATATTTATTTTCTTCCCTTAAATAATATTACATTCGTTAGAATAAACTTTAGTAATGATATATTCTCTTAACTATTTATTATTCTTTAACTTACTCATTAATTTTTATATAAAAAAAAAAATCTTTGTTCGAACTCCATCCTAATCAAAGTTGACATAATTGTTAAACATATACTATGATATGTTTAAAAAATACAATATAAAATGTAACATAAACTTCAGTCAAGTAATTAGCCTAACTAAATACATAATATTCAAAGTTGAGCATAAAACAGATTATAAATCAAGAACTTTGAAAGTCATTTTCTTGCATTTAAAAAAAATTAGGTTAAGTTTTTTTTTTTTTTTTTTGTTTATTTAAAATTAGATATCTATAATGCCTTTATTTAAAAAAAAATTATTAAAAAATTAAAAAAAATATATATATATATATAATTTCATTAGTTATATTATCTTTACTTTCTACAATTCAAAGATTCATTGCCTTAAAATTCATTAATTAATTATATTCACTACATTGTCCATTGTTTTTTTTTACACTATCTTGTAATTAAATATCAAAATTATAATACAAAATTTAATTTGTTATATATTTATTTACCAAGTATTTTATACAAATATAATAAATATTAATATTTTGTTCAATATTTTAACATGATAATCTACAACACACATCTCACACCACAAAACATGTAGAGGAAAAAAATTATCACCGCCAAATATCAACATACGCTTGCAAATAAAGAGTTCATAGTACAACTAAGATCCCAATTAATCATATACACATGCAACAAAGCAAATGCTGGCAAGATAAAGAGTTTCATAGTACAACTAAGATCTCAATCATATACACATGCAGCAAAGCAAATCTAAAACTTCCTACACCATAATCTCATTGCATAACGTTGTCCTCTATGCTACTACCAGTTATACTATCATTTTTAGACTAAGTATCTAGACTAGCGTTATTACAAAGTTGCAAACATTTATTTTAAGGACAATTACAATCCATTTCTCATATATTATCTTGCCCGCATTTAATACTGTGAATTACTGATTTAAATAAACAAATTCAACATTCAATTAACTATGCATGAATATTTCCTATATAATCATGCGTTAATATACTTTAAATTACTTATTTAAAAGTAATCATCGGACATTATCTCACTCGCACAATACGCGTGGAAAAACTAATAATATAATATAGTTTAATCATACAACTATGAACCACCTACTCCCACCGGCCACAGCCCCGCAATAATAAGCTTGCATCATGTCAAAAGCAAAGGTAAAAGTCAAAAGTATACATAATAAAATAAACTTTTGCGAAGAAATGACGTCAATTATAGTAAAGTTTTTAAATTTTTTTTTTATTATTATTATTAGGAAAAAAATAGTTAAATATTCCATCAAACTTTACCTGAAAAGTCAATTAGGTTCTTAAATATTTTAAAATTGTAATTAAACTCATCAATATTGTATTTTGATGCAATGAAGCTCAAAAATTTATTGATGACATGTTATCACAGGTCATTAAGGTTCTAACAACCCTCTAACGTAAATTCTGATAAATAAAGACCGGTGACTGGTGAAAAATCACCGGTCGTGGAGAAAGAAGGCAACCCAGCGTCGTCTCTGATCACCGGAGAAGGTGACTCTGGGTCGCCTTCCTTCTCTACGACCGGCGACTGTTCGCTAGTAGTTTGTCATTTTCTTGTTCGAATTTGCGTCGGAAGGGTGTCGAAACCCTAGTTACCTGTGATATTAGGTCACTAATTAGTTTTTGGACTTCATTGCACCAAAATACAATATTAATAGATTTAATTACAACTTTAAAATATTTACGAGTTTAATTGACTTTTCAGTTAAAATTTCTCGTATTATTATTATTATTATTATTATTATTATTAACCCGGGAGTGAAATAGGGAGAAAATTAAAATCTAGGTCATGTCTAGAGATGCCCCTCCACCGTATAACAATTGTAGCGTTGTTGCTTAATCTACCCCAGATTATATTTGAGGGAACAATTTCTCTGACTTTGACTCCCAAATTATAAAGACTTTACACACCATTATTTCTTCTGCAATAATCTGCAGATTCCATGCACTTTTACAGTTTTTAAGGTTTCTTTGAAACAGATTGAATTGTGAGATCTGATCTGATGATGATGGAAGAAGGCGAAATGAAGAGTTTGATGGTGGTATGGAGCACAGTGTTGGGTTGTCTATGCTATTGCCACGCCATTGATAAGCTTCTTCTTCTCCCCAAACCCAAACCCACCATTACAAGAGCTCTCTCTCTCATCCCAGTTGCCTGTCTCTTCATCGTTCTCCCTCTCAACCTCCACTCCATCACTCTCGGCGCCACCTCTTCTTTCTTCATTGCATGGCTCGCCAGCTTTAAGCTTCTCCTCTTCGCGTTTGGCGATGGCCCTTTGGCTTCTTCCCCGCCGCTCCCTCTCTCCTCCTTCATTCTCTTGGCTTGTCTGCCCATCAAGTTTCAGAGCTTGCAGGTATATATGATGGGTGTGCATGCACAATTTGAAAAAAAAAAAAAAATTGGTTAATTATTTTTTAATCAAAATATTTTGATTTGCTAATGGATGGTTAAGGATTTTTTAGAGTGTGTGGTAGCAACCTAAGAGAATTTAAAATGTGTAATTTTTGATTTATGAGAAATTCAAAAAAAAAAAAAAATTCACCTAACAGATCAGAACTAGAATTCTTTTTGTGATCGATCGAGGATTTAAGGAATTTATCATTTTTGAAACTATGTTAATTTATCAAATTTGTCTCTCTCATGGTTACAAAAGATTACAACATTGTTTATTAAAAAAAAAAGAGTTAATACCATCTAAGGTCCTCCGAGTATAGTGGTTTTGCCACGTTTAGTCATAAACTTTCAAATTGACCATATGTGGTCCTTTGACTTTCAAATTTAACCATTCGTGGTCAAAGTTAACCACCCATGGTCCTTCAAGTTTCAAAATTTAACCAGTCATGGTCCTCTTGAAAGGACCATGGTTGGTTAAAATTTAATAGTTGTAGGACCAAGATTGGTTAACTTGGACCACGAATGGTTAAATTTGAAAGTTGAAGGACCACAGATAGTCAATTTGAAAGTTTAGGACTAAACGTGGCAAAACTACTATACTCGGAGGACCTCGGATGGTATTAACTCAAAAAAAATGTCTTTGTCAACACTTTTTGCATACATATTATTTTATATTTTGAAAATTCTAGTTACAGACTTTAATTTTTTGGTATATACTTTAGTAATTTATAAATGATTTATTAAATTATCAATTATTTGTTATGTTTTTTTTTTTTTTTAATCTTTCTCAACACTCTTTGCATACATGCATATTGATATTGTTTTATATTTTGAATATTCCAGTTGCATACTGAAAATTTTTGTTATGTAATTTAGTAATTTAAAAATAATTTATTAAATTTTCAATTATTTGTTATGTTAATTTTAATGCGGTCGCGCCTTATTGTGCGACCACTTAAAATAGTCACGAATAGTGTTAGGAAAATGCACAATAATGAAATGCATAAATATACCAAAAAACACATAACACACTCAAAAAAATGCACCATAACTCACATCCCTAATTGTGTATTTTTGAACATTGTGTGGTACTTTTATGCATATTTAATGGTATGTTTTTTTATTATGCATACCTAATTTATGCATTTCCTAACATTGTTATGATTTATATATTGATATAATAACTAGAGCTGTCATTGCGGGCTGGCGGGGCGGGGCCCGCCAAAGCCCGCCTTTTGGCAGGGCGGGCTAAAAAGCCCGCCAAGAATACGGGCCTAGGTAGGGGCAGCCCGCCCCGCCCCGCCAAAGCCCGCCTGTTCCTTTTTTTTTTTTTTTTTTTTTTTTTATCATGTGTAATGTGTCCCTAAAATCTAAACTCTATTGTAATTATGTTAATAACTCAATTGCTATCTACTTAAAACACTTATTCATAAGAAAATAACATAAATTCGTTCATCACAACATGATAACAATGACACTAATAGGGGTAAGTATAATTACCAAAAACTGATAACCGATAACCGAACCGACCGATAACGGTTATTATATTATACATAATATATATATTAATTTTATTATATATATATATATATATATATATATATATATATATATATAACGGTTATTATATTATACGTAATATATATATTAATTTTATTTTATATATATATATATATATATATATATATATATATATATATATATATATATATATGTATATGTATATTAGTTACTGTAAGTAACTAATATATTTTTTATTGAAAATTATATGGTGCTTCATTTGAAATAGGCTGAAATAAAAGTAACACATATATATATATATATATATATATATATATATATATATATATATATATATATATATATATATATATAAGGCGGGCTGGCAGGGCGGGAAAGCCCGGCGGGCTAAGTCCATTTTGACGGCTCTAATAATAAATATTTAGTTGTGTGAAAGTAAGAATTGAAATTTTTTATTTTCAAAAAAAGAATTGAAATTTTTTTATTTAGAAATTTTAAGATTTTTTTAAAAATAAATTATTAGTTGACTGACCGATTAAAAAATTTAGATTCAGTTAATTCATAAATAAAATTTTGATTCAATTAATGATTGAAACATTTTTACAAATTCAATTAATTAGGTTTAGTTATTGGCCCTATTAGGTAAAATAGTTAGCTCACCAATTTTGACTTATTTGATCATTATTAGTTATTTAGTTGTTTGGTTTGGTTTAAAAATTAATATAAGTGTTTGATTAATTCACTTTTTGTACTCCAAAATGTTAAAATTCAAAAAGCTACTCAAAGCAACATTTTCAATTAACTTTTTGAGAAAAAAAATTATACCAAACAACTATCCTAATTTACCAAACACATTTATTCAATCAGTTATCAACTAGTTATACCCTCTAATCAACCCAGTTAGCTAACAACTAACAGTCATTTACCAAACACGGCCTTTAACTGAATAAACATCCTCCATCCTACTGCTGCAGGAGCCATCATCATCATCGCAGCCCAAGAAAGCTCGGAGGTCTTCCGTTAATCATTTGACGAAATTCATGTTGATGGTGATCTTGTTTCGTGTGTATAACTACCAACAATACATTCATCGGAATCTGCTACTGTTCTGCTACGGCCTCCACATTTACCTTTCTCTTGAGCTCATGTTGGTGGCGATCGCCGCCGCCGTCAAGGCGGCGACGGGAATGGAGGTGGAGGCGCCGTTCGACGAGCCGTACCTGGCGACGTCGCTGCAGGACTTCTGGGGGAGGAGGTGGAACCTGATGGTGACCGGCATCCTGCGCCCCGCGGTGTACGCGCCGGTGAAGTCGGCGTCGGGGCGGGTATTGCCGGTGGAGTGGGCGGCGGCGGCGGCGGCGGTGATGGCGACGTTCTTGGTGTCGGGGGTGATGCACGAGCTGATTTTCTACAACGTTGGGAGGGTGAGGCCCAGCGGGGAAGTGTTGGGGTTCTTTCTGCTGCATGGGGCGTGTTTGGGTGTGGAAATTGGGGTGAAGAAATGGTTGAAAGGTAGTGGGAGGTTTTGGGTGCCTGGTTTTGTGTCGGGGCCATTGGCGCTTTGCTTTGTGATTCTCACGAGCTTTTGGCTGTTCTTCCCACCATTGTTGAAGAATAAGGGTGATGTGAAAGCATGCTGTGAGTTCCTTGCTTTTGTGGAGTCTGTCAAGCATCATACATTAGTTAGTCCCAATAACATCACCTGTCCCTTTCTTCTCCTCTCCTCTCAAATACCGAACAGTTGAGCTAAGCTCGTGTGAGTATTGCCTGTCGCCCTTTCTTCTCATCACGTGATGTTAAGAATTCGAGCCCCAATTTGAATACACCATACTAATGTATATGTAACATCCTTATTGAGTTTATTACAGAAATGGTCCATCGACTACTGCGAAATTACCAATTTGATTCTCGATAATTTTTCGTGTCTAACTAAGTCATCGACTTTAAAAATGTTAACCAATTTGGTCCTCCGTTTATTTTGCCGTTAGACATCCGTTAACTCGGGACCATATTAATAATTTTGCTATAGTTAAGGGACCTGTCGGGTCGAGTGTGGGGAGCCATTGGGATTGAGGATTCAACTTTTTGGAATAAGGAGAAAATATGGCGTGTAAACAAAATTTTTGTGGCTTGTATAAATGTGTTGGGTTATTTGAGGTTTTGATGGAAAATGTTATTAAGTTGTTTAGAAATTTGAATGCAGGGGGATACAATTGGTAGAGGAAACTAGACTCTTTGGTCTTTGGTTTGGCTGTAATGGTGTATAATGTACAATATTTGGAAATAACATTTCATTTTCTGCAGGCAAAAAAAAAAAAAAAAAAAAAAGCTCTAGTCAACGTGGCCAAATCTTGTCGATGTCCTCCTCCCTTAGGGTATCCTAATTGAAGTTGATGAAACACACTCAACTAAAAGATCAATTACTCCATTATGTTCTCTATAAATGTGAACCATGCGCACCTTTCATTTCCGACCAATTATGCATTTACGATTCTCAAAAATGTTTCAAATCAGGCAATTCGTCTCTTTTCTCTCATTAACTAATTTAACTACCAAATCACAGCTTCGCTGGTAGGGATGACAATGTGTCCCGTTCTCGACGGGATATTTGATCCCGGTTCCGACGGAAATGGTGATAGGAAAAATTTTCGAGAAACGAGAACGAGGACAGAGATACACACCCCTTCCTCGTCTTGTCCCTGAATAATTATTAAAAATTACACTTATTTAACAATTTGACTAGAAATTTACGGGTAATGGGGTATCCCCGTCCCCGCCTAATTCCTCGCGAGAACGGGGATGGAGAATATTTTCAAGCGGGACAGAGATGGAGAATATTTTCAATTCCCCGCTGAGGACGAGAACAGGAAATATACTTCCCACCCTATTGCCATCCCTATTTGCTTGTATATTAACCGTTATTATAAAATTAATTTTACCAAATATTTTTTACAAACCGTTGTTACAATCCACTAGTTGAACATACTAACACAATCTGCTATTCGACTATCCGCTAATTGCTAACTGCGAATTGCTAAACAAGGCCAAAATCTTTCTAGTGTAATTTACCTCTCTTATATGATTTGCGGAAGATGGAAACTTATTCATTGCACATCCTCAAATAGTGTCTATTGATTTTTCTTGTCACCCAAAAAGAACCTCAAATAGTGTCTATTGATTTTTCTTGCCACCCAAAAAGAAAATGTTAGGTCCCTTACAAGAATACTCAAAGATAAGAAGATTGAATTGAAAGTCATCATGACGTGTCGTCGATGATAGATCCAACAACGCTAATCCCATTGCAAAAAATCATTGATCGCATCATGCAAACAACATTGCTAGCCTCAACTCATCCCCACCAAGGTGATCTTCTTGATGGTTATTGAATCACTCTCCAACTCAACTTGACTAAAACTTTTCTCCTAGTAGAAACATAGACCATCGCATATCCATGACTCATTTAGTTGCACGTTATTTTATATTCATTAATTACTACGATATAGTCAATAATATCACGAGTTATAACATTTATAAATCTTATTTCTTTATCCAAGTGTCATTTGTAGGCAAAATTGAGTTTCATGTGTCATTAATAACCATACTAATAAATGACAAGAGACTTCATATGACAGCTCAACACATTAGCATATATTGACAAGAAGGTGGTTGGAAGGAAATGTTTATGAATTGGGACATAAAGAGGAGATGAGAAATTGAGCAACCCAAGGCATAGCTAACTTCAAGATAAGAGAGAAGCTTCAAAAGAGTCCAAGGATCGAGTCTCACCAGCGATAGTGTGGGAATAACTACTCAAAATTAGGGGCTCCTTATGTGCAGTGAGCAAAAGTCTAACCTCTATTAATTAGTTAAGTCACCATGATTTACCCCTCTATGATCCTGTCTGGCCAGAGTGTGGGGCGTCTGGGGTGGGCGATTCCACCTTTTGTCACAAGATAAGAGAGAAGCAACCACATTAATGGGGGGATTTAATGCTTACATAGACTCATGAACTGAAGTCAAAACCTTTGAATCATCACACTCTAATCCAACGGTTCTGAAAAGCTGAATCTTTACCTGGTCACAGATGGAAGAACTGTCTATAAATAAGAACCTGAGATTTGAGAATATGCAAGCTGAGTGTAATGCACAGAGAAATGGAAGGGAGGTCACCTCAGTTGATCTTTGCGTGCACTCTGATACTATTGATGCTATGGGAGAAGCCTTCCCTTTCTTCAGCCTGTAATACAGATAGCGGGGGATGCCGGGACTGCATAGTTAAGCACACCATGAAAGATTGCCCAAAATGTTCAACCATCATGTGTTGCATGGCTCAGTGTCTGTGGGGTGGCTCCTCGCGCTCCAAGTGCAGCAAGAAATGCGACTGCAATGGCGGCTATCCAAGGTTGTCTGACTGCAAGAACTGCTTGTCTCCATGCAAATGCAGCTGTTCTGTCTGAAACAGATGTCTACCCTGCCTGCTAGCTGCTTGGTTTATCCAAGATCTCAGTTAAGATTCATGAATCAGAACTGGTACTTCAACACTCCTTTTTTCAATATAATGTCCATATCAGTCTCTCTGGATTCTGCTGTCCTGCACTGCATGTGTGTGTGTGTGTGTGTGTGTGTGGTGTCTTTCTTGATACATTTGAAGGGATTTCGGATAAAATCTGTTATCTGTTACTCTTACCTAAAGCTGAAAACTTATACAACTCAACCACAAGGCTTTTGACAATTTGACATATACATGTTGTGTCTGTGTGTGTGAGAGAGCGAGAATCATCTTCGTTCTGCACACAAAAAATATCAAATATGTCTACAATAATGAACAAAACAATCTTCAGGAAATCCAATATCAGCTAATCTAGAAGACTAAGCAGCTTGCAAATGAATCTATGACAATCAGCTGGTCAAAACAGCTAACAAAATCAACTAATTGGCTAATTGCCAAACCATCCCAATAACTACCAAGAGCTTTCGTTTGCATAACACGTATAACAAAGAGTACTTTTTTCGAGCAAAGTTTTATTGATTTCTTACCTTGGACTATAGATTTTGATGTTGTTCTGGCAACCCCTTCCAGCTGCCAATCTTCAGAGTTCAGACAATTTTTTTTGTTTTTGCAAACCATGTACTCACCAATTAATTCTCTCAAATCAGAAGGCTCACAGCCTTACAGAACATTGCAAAAATTAAACAAAGTATTCCAACTGGGGAATTGACAAAATTAAGGTATATATGTCACTATGCCAGACAACTTAGAGTCGAATAATAAAAGCAAAATGATATCCAGGCCATAAGGCATATCTACTCACAATTCTATTTTTTTTGTATTGTAATATATACAGAAAGCAAGCTAAGGCAGTTTAGTTCTGGTAGTGGATCTATAAGAAGTGTGCATATATATATATATATTATATAGAGAGATAGAACACCATTAAACTTATCAGTTATCACGAAGAAACTGTTGAAGGCATCGAAATCCCAAATGCTCAGCACAAAACCTCTCCAGATCTCCATTCCCTCTTTCCTTGCAAACTTCGCTCTCGATTTTCTCGAGAACATCATCCCAGTCCCTCAAGAAACCGTCCCAACTTTCGATTTTGGCATCCGAAACCGCATCCAGTATCTCCTGCAACCCTACGATCCTCCGGCTAACATGTCGCCTCAAGTCCCTGACCGTTGGATCAACACCGGGAACAGAGTCTAATCTGAACAGTAATCCCATCAATGCTTCGTTGATTCTGATCCTCTCCCGCTCGTTGCTTCTCACAGCATCAACCGTCTCCTGCAATAAACAATTCCTTTAGAACTAAAGCCAACTAACTATTCATGTACCACAGAATTAACACTTTCTCCACAGCAGTATCAATGATTCAAAGAGGGAGGTGTTGAATTACGTGCCTGGAGTTGGATGAGGCGTTGGAGATAGTTAGCTTCGCGATTGACGGCCGAGATCTTCTTGACGAGCTTGCGGACCACGTGAGAGCGGTAAGCCGACTGTATCTTAACGGCGGCTGCAGCGGCGGGTTGTTGATCATCGGACGGGGACTGGACGGGAATTTGGAAGGTATTGTGTTCGGAACGGGGGGTAGGGTGGTCATTGTGGAAAGTTTGAGTGACTGTAGTGGTGGTTGTGGGAAACGGGAAGAAGAAGGCACCTCTCATTGGGAAGAGACACACGGCGGCGTCGGTGGTGGAGGTGAGCGGTGGACACGGCGGAGCGCGTGAACGGTAAAAGAAGGTTGGAGAAGAGGAGAGAGTGTCATTTATACTTGGGGCCAACTTTTGGCGGGTATTACGCCGTTAGTGGTCCCACTGCCATTTGACTAACGGTCCTCGCTTTTGCTTTAAGTGGGCCACTGGGCCCCGAGGTCCGGAAGGAAAGTACTCCCTAGCTGGATCAACGGTTATAAATCATTATTGCGTCGGATCATGGTCCACACCGAGTGAATCATATTGTCAAATAATGTACATTCTTACCTATCTAAACACATAATATGATAATTACAGGTACAAAAATTATCAACTACAAGTACATAATATAATAACTATAAATACAGAATCGGAAGATTATTTTTAGACCAGAGTTTAAGATAGACCCTGGTCCATGGTATAATTTGCCGGTACTTTATTTTACAACATTTTAAAATCTCAGATCTGGTTTTCTGATTTTTGTTCTGCACTGCTCATTCTACAACTACAACATGATGAATAGACCAAAACCAGTATAACAGAAAAGAAAGATTTAGTCATCTTTGAGTGACGAGACAAACTTGCAGCCACTACTCGAGGGTGTGTATTGGGTAAACCCTGTCTTGACGTGGTTTATAGTCATCCCTTTGAGTCCACAAAAGAGGGTTAAGCTGGGAAAGGGAGAATCTTTCCTGAGCATGTTCCAAAACCAACTGTATAGCCATCACCCTGATGAGGAAAAATGTTACCAGTTTTGTATAGAAACTAAACATTAAAACATACCAGTATAGTTAGCAGAGTAAATAGATAGTTCAGTGGATAAGCGAAATGAACCTTGCAGAAACCAGAAATAATGACTTCATCTCCATCTTGTAAGAAGGTGCGAGTTTCTCCAGCAAAGGTTAAAGGTTTTTGCCCGTTCCACGTCAATTCCAGAAGGCTTCCATAAGAATCTGGATCCTGGGGAGCAAATAGGAAGAATGTGTTGTGAAAGTTGAAACCAAAGCCAAGAGAAAGAAGACTACATAGTGGATTGGAGTTCTTACAGGTCCACTTATAGTCCCACTTCCAAGCAGGTCACCAGGCTTTAGGTTACAGCCGTTTATAGTGTGGTGCGCGAGTTGTTGAGTAATGGTCCAATATCTGTGCCAAATATTAAGAAACAATGAATTGAAGGATAAATTTCGTTTCAACCAAAAGTTTAAGCTGATAGTAATCCTTACAAGTGTTTAAAGTTGCTTCTGGAGACAACATATGAATCTTCATGTCCAGATGGTTTAATGTGAACCTTGCAACGAAAATGAACAATAATTTCTTGCAGAATGCCCATAAAATTTCACTCTGTTTGAAGCAAATAAGTCCTCTCAGTTAAGGATATGAAAGTACCTCCAATGAGATGTCATAGTTTCTCGACTTCTTTTCTGAAAGATATGGCAAGGGAGGGGGGTTCTGCAGAAAGAAAAGAAGTTTTCTTGTTATCTGAACTTCACTGGTGTGTCGCCTAGTGTTCTACAGAAAAGGAAATAAGTTACCTGTGTCGGAGCATCACATGCAAAAGGCTCGAGGGAATCTAAAGGCACGATCCAAGGGGATATCGTTGTACCTGATAGAGAACATAACATAAAGATAAAAAGCTGATATGATGAAAGATAATCACAGGAAAATAGAATCTCTTACCAAAGTTCTTTCCAAGAAAAGGACCGAGTGGGATGCATTCCCACCCTTGAATGTCTCGAGCTGTTTTAGACACTTATCAGTTTGGTGTGAAAAGTTTAACACAAGGACTTTTTAAAAGATGCAATAGATATTAAGTATACCACTCCAGTCATTCATCAAAACGAGCCCAAATATGTGATCTGCAGCTTCATTCACGTCTACGGGCTTTCCTAATTCATTTCCAGGACCAACTACAGCTGCCTTTTAGCAGAATTAGCAGAAGGTGAAAGAAAAGTTAGTTGTAGCTGGAAAAGTGTGTAAAACAAAATACCTCTGAGATTCTGTCTTCTATAAGGGTATTTGATAACATCTTACCATTTCAAGCTCAAAGTCCATCTTTCGAGAAGGTCCAAAATATGGAGGAGAATTTCCAACTGGATGATCTTGTCCTCTAAACAGAACCAAAATTGCAGAAATTATTACAAAAAAAGGGAGCAAATTGTTGCCAATTTGGAAGGAAAAGTTTGGCCATCATTGAAACAGAAGTAACAGTTGCATTTAACTGTAGAGAAGTTTAGTCCTAAGGTCTTTGCATAGACTTCTTGAACAGGTAAGCAAATAAATGAACTGATGAAATGTTGAGTCACCTTGGTCTAATAATATCAGTGCCAGAGACGACAATAGATGATGCTCGTCCATGGTACGCGATGGGGAGATGGAACCTAAAAGGAGCCAAAAGCAAGGAAAAGCCAGTCAAGATGAATAGAAGAAAATATCAGGGTGTTATTTGATTATTTCCAGCTTTATGTTAATTTCTTTCAGTATCAGTATCTTCCATCTGAGTATATAATATTTTCAGCTTCATTATTTCCTATTGCCATACCAGTTAGGCTTTATTGGTTCCCCAGCACCTCGAAACATAAGCCCACAATTCCTAGCATGATTGATCGACGAATAGAAGTCTGTGTAGTCTCCTACTGCAACAGGGTGAAGCATCTGCACCTTGTCCTAAAGTAACATTCATCAACACAAAATTATAGTAATTCAAAAAAGCACAAATGCCTCCAACTAGGCTACTAAGCATTGATATGTCCACAAATGTCTTACAATTGGAACAAGCGCTTTCTGCCTCAGGTTTGCATTGTCGCGTAATGTCGGTTCAGTCTCTGCATAAATACAAAGGGAAAGTGAGTGACAGACCAGATTCTGGAATCTGGTAACTAAAACTCCAATTCCTGCTCTACAGATGGAAATCTTAGAACGATTATCAAAAGCAGAAAGTAGTAGTAGAAAAGAGTATACCAGATAAAAGCTTTTGCAGCGTGGCACGAGCTTCCTTCCATGCCGGCCTTCCCAGTTCCAAGAATTTGTTTAGATTAGGCTGCACCATATAATTCTTTCAGAATTAAACTCTCTCCCATATACACTTCATAGAAGCAGAGCCTCAAAATTTGAAATTAAGAGAGGATGAATAAACCAAAATGCAGAAATAGCAGGAACCTGATTGAAGCAATCGGAGTTCCTGAGAAATGGGCCGTCGAGAAGACCTGCAGAGGCGATCACTGAGATGTCCAAGACGAAGTCTCCAATGGCCACGCCTGGCCGAGCTTCAGAGCAGTGGTTGGGCTTGAACATACCATAGGGGAGGTTCTGGAGCGGGAAGTGCGAGTCCGGACGGACTTCAACGAACGATTTCAACACCATTCTATACAGAAACGGCGAATTACAGGGCGGTCAGGCGATGTATGCAGTGACCACCCAGGAGAGCATAGTCAGAAATCTTCGGAAAACGAGAGGGGAATTTATACTAAAAAATTACAGAGTGAGCGCTCTGCCATGGAGGCTCTGAACCATAAAGGCCCACCAATAATTCAAATTAAGCGCTAAAAGAATTACCAGAAACAGAACTTGGCAGCTGGTACATTGATCAATGAACAAGAAAATAACTCTTCATTTAAAAATAATACCAATAATTATTACCTAACCCAAATAATTACAACATTTTTGTCCATACAGAGAACACTGTTGAGGCGTGTTCCTCATTGTAAGAGGATGGGCTAATGTCTTCTCCTCTATAATATATTAATATCAGTCGAGTATCAACCTGTGTTTTCAAATAGATGACACCATACACAGTAAAATGATAAACTTAACAGTACATTAATGCTCTGGCAAAATTAAATAATACAAATTCGGCTACGAGATTTAAGGTGTAACTTTTTTTGAGTACTATTGACTCTGTTACAATGTAGTATATGTTCATATATACTTTCTTAACCTATAAAGCACAAAGAGTCAATACCGCCCCCATTGAGACTCGAACCTATGACCTCCCATTTAGGAAAGTCACTTCATGCCAACCACGAGGTGTAGTTAATACAGAGAGTAGTAAACTACACCTCTTTTCAAGTAAATTCAAACCTTATCATTCTCGTCCCTTATAAGATGTATCAAAAGAAACAGAGAAGTACTGATCATTTAATGTTTCTAATCAGAATCAAGGGTGAATGAACATAATAATACATAATCCATGAAAATTTTACAGAAATTTGGACCTAATCACTGCATGGCCAATATACGAATAGAAGTTTTCAAGCCAGCATGAATTAGTGTCTCATTATGGTGATGGGAGTATCTTTCCTGAGCATGTTCCAAAGCCTATGTTGTAGCCATCTCCCTGTAAAAAAAATACTCTATGTATAAGTCTCTACTACAACTATGATATTCAAGTGAAAGAGAAATGCAGGGGGGCACAGACGCTTCACATTAGTCAGTAACATAAATGCTAGTTAAACAATTCTATTAACACTGTTAATCCTGGCCTTCTCTTTTTTTTCAAGCAACTTTGCATCAGGTGTACAAGAATATGAAAGACAAGCAGGTAAACTCTGCTAGGAAAAAACAATGAAGTCATGGAAGTGGAACCTTGCAGTAACCAGTAAAAGTGATTTCATCCCCGTCTTCTAAGAACGTACGAGTTACTCCACCCAAAGATATAGGTTTTTGTCCATTCCAAGTTAATTCTAGCAAGCAACCGTAGGATTCTGGTTCCTGTAGAGAAAGTCAAGGACCATTGCAGTACATCAAACAGAGCATTGTTTATCATTTCACTAAATGAGAAAACTCAGACTAAGAAGGAAAATAAAAGTAAATTTCATTAGAGGGGCATCACATCATTGTGTGAACTCAAAATGCTTACAGGTCCACTAATAGTCCCAGTTCCTAGAAGATCGCCAGGCCTTAGGTTGCAACCATTGACAGTATGGTGTGCAAGTTGTTGGGTTACTGTCCAATATCTGTACCAAAATGAAATGATAAATTAGCAAGGCGAAAAAGTAACAAATTAGAAACTACAGTTCATAGGAGTAAGATCAGCTAAGGATTTGTATAATATATTATGTAACATCAGAGTGGTTAAATGTATTTTACCCTATAATTCTAAATGAAGAATTCCCGTCTACATAACTACATTACATAACAGTGATAATACAGCAGATTGGTTAAATGTGTTTTACCCTAGAATTCTAGACGAAGAATTCCCCTTTTTACAAAAATTATAGCTTCAATAACAACTTTAACTACGCAATATTCCATATATTCCAAATTATATGCTCAACACGCCCCTCACATGTGCGGGCCGATTACTTTTTGATGGGCTCCAAGCAACACGTGGACCATAGTCTCTTTTTTTGGGGGATTGTTTTTCCTTTGGCATGGCTTGATACCAAATTGAAGCATGTGCTCCATCTCAACTAAAAGCCTAAGCTGATAGTTGGATTGCACATTTATGTTTATATATAATAATACTTGTTATAGTACTGTGAGAGAGAAAAAGAATACCTTGGAGAGTTCTCCCTCTTTCTGTATGTCTTTAGGGTTAGTCAACCTCCCCTTAAATACTAGCTTAATCTAGACTGATATGGTATGCTAATATTCTAGTTTCCTAAAATATAGGATACTCAATCACACAGAATATTCTATAACACTCCCCCTCAAGTTGGAGCAAAGACATTGATCATGCCCAACTTGTTACACAAATAACTGACTCGAGTTCCAGTAAGGGCCTTTGTGAATAAGTCCCCAAGTTGTTCTCCTGTCTTCACAAATCCTGTGGAGATTAACCCTTGTTGTATCTTCTCACGTACAAAATGACAGTCAATCTCTATGTGCTTAGTCCGTTCATGGAACACCGGGTTTGATGCAATATGAAGAGCAGCTTGGTTATCACACCATAACTTTGCAGGAATTGGAGCTTTGAAACCAGACTCATACAAAAGGTTGTGTATCCACATTACTTCACTCGTTGATTGTGCCATCGCTCTATATTCAGACTCTGCACTCGAACGAGAGACTACATTCACATTCTGCTTCTTACTCTTTCAGGAAACCAGATTACCTCCAAAGAAAACACAATATCCAGTTGTTGATCTACGATCCTCTTTGGAACCTGCCCAATCCGCATCAGTAAAACACTCAATCCGAGTGTGACCGTGATTCTTATACAAAATTCCGTGTCCCGGAGCTCCCTTTAAGTAACTCAAGATGTGCTCTACAGCTGCCCAGTGATCAATAGTTGGAGATGACATGTACTGACTCAAAACGCTAACTGGGTATGCAATATCTGGACGGGTTACGGTCAAGTAGTTTAGCTTCCCAACCAATCTCCTATACCTCTCAGGATCTTCAAACAATTCCCCTTCCTTTGACAATTGCAAGTTCGGTATCATGGGAGTATTGCATGGTTTAGTACCTAGTTTTCCTGTTTCAGAGAGTAAGTCAATAACATATTTTCGTTGGGAGAGTAATATACCTGTTTTGTTCCTCATAACTTCAATACCCAGGAAATACTTTAGTGGTCCCAAATCTTTCGTTTGGAATTGACTGTGAAGAAATGACTTGAGAGACAAAATCCCTTCGGTGTCGCTCCCTGTAATGACAATGTCATCTACGTAAACCACCAACCAAATGATACCTGTTTTGGACCACTTGTAGAACATGGAATGATCCGATTTGCCTTTCACCATCCCAAACTTCTCAACAACTTGACTAAATTTTCCAAACCATGCACGTGGACTTTGTTTCAGCCCGTACAACGATCGCCGAAGACGACATACTTTCCCAGACTCCCCCTGAGCAACAAACCCAGGAGGTTGCTCCATGTACACCTCTTCATGAAGATCCCCATGCAAAAGGCGTTCTTGATATCAAGCTGATGCAAAGGCCAATCATGAATGGCAGCCATAGAGATGAGTAACCTGACAGAAGTAAGCTTAGACACAGGAGAAAAAGTGTCAGAATAATCAACTCCATAAGTTTGGGCATATCCCTTAGCCACAAGACGAGCCTTCAATCGAGCCACAGACCCATCAGAATTAACTTTGACAGTAAACACCCATTTACAACCAATAGATCTTTTACCCGCAGGCATAGTGACCAACTCCCAAGTACCATTGTGATCCAAAGCGTTCATCTCCTCAATCATGGCATTTCGCCACCCAGGATGGGACAAGGCATCCCTAACAGTCTTAGGAATGGAAATAGACTCAAGGGAAGCAATAAAAGAACACGAGGCATGTGACAGCCTATCATATGATGCAACGGAGGATATAGGATAAGTACAAGTACGTTTACCTTTCCGGGTGGCAATCGGACGGTCATCAATTAAGACTGGATCTGATGACATAGAGGTGGTGTCAGGGCACGGAGTCTGTGCCGAGTCTGGAATGAGAGGCGGTGCCGATACGAGTGTGTCAAGTCGAGGTCTACGAGAATACACTTGCAAGACAGGAGGGGTAGGAACAGGGGAAGGAACAGACGACGTTACCCTATACATCAATATATCATCCTCCTCTCCCTTACGAACAACATCTGGGGATGAAGGAAAGAAAAGGACGTCCTCATGAAAGACAACATCAATGGAAACAAGGTACCTACCAAGCTCAGGAGAGTAACACCGATACCCCTTTTGCACACGGGAATATCCAAGAAACACACACTTCAAAGACTTGGGATCTAACTTGGTGACATGGGGACGGACATCTCGAACAAAGCACACGCAGCCAAATATACGCGGGTCAACATGGAACATAGGCTTTGAAGGATACAGAGTATGGAAAGGTGTTTTCCCACCCAAGACCGCAGAAGGCATCCGATTAATCAAGAAACAGGCTGTGGAAACGGCATCACTCCAAAACTGCTTAGGAACCCCCATTTGAAACATCAAGGCCCTTGCAGTTTCAAGCAGATGCCGATTTTTGCGTTCAGCGACCCCATTTTGGAAAGGTGTATCAACACAAGAGGACTGATGTAACATACCCTTCTTACGCATATAAGAGACAAAGGGAAAAGAAAAATATTCCTTTGCATTGTCACTACGTAAAACTTTGACAGGAACACCAAATTGAGTCTCAATTTCAACACAGAATCCACAAAACACCTCAAAAAGTTCAGAACGAGACTTCATTAGATATAACCATGTTATTCGGGAAAAATCATCAACAAATGTCAACAAAATACTTAAAACCAAGTTTAGAGGTCACAGAACACGGACCCCAAATATCAGAATGCACTAACTCAAAAGGAGCAGACGCTCGTTTGCAAACTCTAGGACTCAAAGGCACGCGATGGTGCTTGGACAACTGACACGACTCACAATGTAAAGAAGACAAACTAGAAAACTGCGGACACAATTTCTTCAACAAGGGAAGAGAAGGATGCCCCAAACGACAATGAGCTTCTACAGGAGTGACAGCACCTGAACAAGCAATAAGCTCTCGCCTCGTGGTGTCAAGAACGTAGAGGCCCCCAGACTCGCGCCCCTTACCAATAACCCTCTTCGTCAAAAGATCCTGAAACAGACAATAATCAGGGAAAAATGTAACAGAACAGTTTAAAGTACGGGTAAGCTGGCTGACTGAAATTAAGTTGAACAAAAAGTTAGGTAGATGCAAAACAGAAGACAAGGGGAGCGAGGGGATGGGCGTAATGGTACCGGACCCAAGAACATGGGAGGTAGAACCATCTGCTAAGGTGACGGGGGAACTATGTGGGCGAGAAGAAAGTGTGGAAAACAAACTAGAGTTACCTGTCATATGATCCGTGGCACCCGAGTCTATAACCCACTTGGAGGAGGATGAGAGAAGGCACGTAGTTGCATTACCTGAGTCAGCAATAGCAGTGACCGAAGAGGAGGATGAACGCTTTAAAGATTCTCGATATTGAGAGAACTCAACAAACTCATCAGCAGAGACAGTGACCGTCTTGGAAGACGCCTCAGCGGTGGATGCAACATTAGCAGTCGGATTTCCTCGTTCCCTCAACCATCTCCGACAATCCCTTTTTATGTGGCCAGGCTTATGGCAATAATGACACACAATCCCACCAGAAGTGTATCCCTGAGAATTTTTACCATTCCCACTGCGAGGATGACGGCCAACAAGAGCATTGTTTGACGGGATAGTAGCCTCAAGCACATTTGGTTGCGATTGCACCGATCGACTTAGACGTGGGAAAACATCAGC